AAAAAAAAAAAAAAAAAAAAAAAAAAAAAAAAAATTACATTAGAACTCTTTTTGTAGCAAATTAAATTTAAAAATAATTTTGTTCAGTCCTTTTTTTCTTAACTTTAATATTTTAGAAGATATAATTAAAAATTAAATAATTTTCACGTATAAAAAAATATCAGCTGATTTTTTTTAAACAAAAAACATAAAATTATTAATTGTATAAAATTTATACTCCAAAAATTTAACAAATTATAAACATAACCTCAAATGAATAGATTAAAAAAAAAAATAAACAGAAATTTCTTATTTTATCTGAAACTATTTTTTGTATTTACAAATGTTCAGAAGATAGAATTAAAAATTGAATAATTGTCACGTTTAAAAACATCAGCCGATTTTTTAATAAAAAATTTTTAACTATTTAAAAACACATTTTTGTTTTTAACAAAATAAATAAAATTACTCGATTGTTAATTTAATAAAAATTTTAACTCTAATAATTTAACAAACTGTAAACATAACCTCAAAGTAGGAAATAAACAAAAAAGAAAAATAATCTATTTGAGGAATTAATTTTTTTAAAAAAATAGACAATTTAATATTAATAATTTAACAAACAAATTACCTTATGGTATTTCCGGTTCGCATTCTCACCCATTGGGGAATCGGACGATTTTGTTTCAGCTTTTTAGCGAGTTTTCGCTTGATAATAAACGTCTTGTGTGCCGACTAAAAAATATAAACAATCAGTAATTCATAATTAACACCTATTTTTAATAATTAACTTGAGATTTAATATTAATTAATGGATTGTCAAAAAATCCACGCAGTTTCATACCATCTTGTCTGCTTGCTGACGCGAAAAGAAATGAAGAGAGCGGGGAGCAAAATGGCTGCCGTTTGTGCATGCGCGGAAGTGAAACTGCGCAGAACGTTCTGCGCAGGCGGGAAAATTTGAATTATACATTTTCAAAATTTTGTAAGAATTGGTGTTTGCGGGTTTTACAATTACCAATATTTAAATTATTTAAATATTATATACTTATTTAGTAAAAAAACCTATTACAATTGTTGTATCCTGATAAATAATAAATATAATAAATGATATAAGGAATGTGTTCGGAATAATATAGCGTCGTTTTAATCTGCTTTCGCGGGCTCCGTTGTGTTCCTGTTCCACGTTGTCGCTACTACCTTGAGCACTGTGGTGCTACCTCGCGGTGATGTCAGATAGTGGCGCAAGCGCCAAAGTTTAAAATTTATTTAAAAAATTAAATCTCTAAATAGGAAAGATTTATTTTTAAGGTAGTAAAATTAAGATTAAATAAGTTAGAAAATAAATTATCGAAAAATTTCTAACCGAGCTCATTAAATATTCATGGGATTACTAATTTATAAAAGTAAGAAAAAATTGATTTATTAGAATGTACTTACCTTAATTAAACCAAAACTTTTTTTTCAATAACACTTCCGTGCTGATCACTGAAATAACTATTATATGATTATTATGATTATAATGGTCCATGATGAGCGGGAAAATGTGTAAAGTAACTGGATTGTATATATAAATCTCTTAATAAGTAAAAGTGTTAGATGAACTCAAAAAATCAGTCCAAGCGCATCTTCAAATCTTATTCTTAAAATTAAAAAAACTAAAATTTAAACCATGCCAAAAATTAATTTCATTTTTATAATTATTTATGTTATAGTGATTGGCAGTGTGCTGGGTGTGAGTGAAAAAAAGCCGAAAATTAGGATTAAAAATTTGGACTCGCGACTTGAGAGTTTTGTAAGTAAAAAATTTGAAATAATTATTTAGATAAATTTTTGAAAAACAATTTGGTTTTAGATCGACTTAGTGGAAGAAAGTGGATATCTAGGTGAAGAACACAGAGTAAAAACAGAAGATGGGTATGATTTGACGGTCCACAGAATCCCAGGCGGGCCTCAGAGTCCTGTTAGATTTGGAAAACCAGTTATTTTGTTACTACACGGATTAATGTCCGCGTCTGATATATGGATCCTACGAGGCCCAGGTCAAGATCTAGGTAAACATTAATTAGTTTTTTTTACACATTTTTTGTTTGTTTTTATAATAAATCGGTTATATCAACCGATATCTGATATAACCGAAAAATCGGCACTTTTTCTTTGATATATCAAGTCTATTGACCCTCCCGGACCTAAATATACTAAAAGATCGGCACTTTTTAAAAATATCTTAAGGTAAGAGACTTCCGGAGTTGAACATATAAATCGGTAATAGAGGAATATTTTTCAAATTAGTTTTTTCTCTACTTAACGTTGGAGAAAGTAGGGGTTGTTATACATAATTTTACTCGGGATTTAACGCTCTACAATATTTCACCCTTCTTTTTTATAAAAAAAATTTTTTCACCCCCTAAAAAAATTTCTAATGTAATTTTAGCCTACTTGCTCTCGGACGCGGGCTATGACGTTTGGGCGATAAACGTACGGGGTAATTACTACTCTACATTACACAACAGCATTACAAATAACTCAGCCTACTGGGACTACAGGTACTTTTTATTTTTAATTAACAAAATTTTTATCTGACAATTTAATAATAATTAGACTAAATTTATTGTAATTTATTCAAGCTGGCACGAAAATGGAATGTACGATGTACCAGCGACGATAAATTATATACTGTCGAAAACCCGGAAGAGTGAGCTGTCACTACTAGGGTACTCTATGGGAGGAACTGAAATATTGGTCCTACTATCTTCAAGACCTGAATTTAATCATAAAATTAACATCGCTATTACTTGGGCCCCTGCTGCCTTGGTTTCTCATGACATACCCGGATTTTTTCCTAATTTCCTCTTTCGTCATAGCAAACAAATAAAGGTAACTAATTAATACAAAATTATTTGTCTAATATTAATATTATCGATTAAAAAATTCAATTTGTTTAGGATTTGTTCAGCGAGTACAATTTATACCAAGTAATGCCGCGAGTTAGCAAACAATGGTCTGATTTTTTAAATGTCTGGTTCAGTTTATGCTGGAGATTAAATATCAAATCAATTTGTTTAAAATTACTCGATGTTACTTTGGGATTTAAGAATCTTAATGATTTAGATTTGGTAAGTACAGCTTACAATTAAAAATTCTGGGAAAAAATAAATCAAAATTTAATTCCAGGCGTTAATTTTGCGTATTAAGGACCATTATCCTCAAGGAACTTCTTTAAAAACTATTTTACACTACGGCCAAGTTTTTAAAAATCGTGAGTATTGATATAATAATAATAATAATAAAACTTAAATATTTTGCCGTAGTTCTAATTTAATTAATAATTTTAGGAAGATTCCAGCAATACGACTACGGAAAGATGATCAATTTGATAAAATACAACGATATGATACCACCAGAATATCCACTGAATAAAATAACAACTCCTTTAATTATTTACTACGCTCGAAATGATAAACTAGTTACCAAAAATGTAACTATTAATTATACCTATTATAAACTTATAGTTAACAATTTAAATATTGAATAATTAATTGTTTCAGGACGTTGAGATGATGTTAAAAAAAATTCCTACTGCAATCGCCAAAGAAGTACCTGACGATAAATTCGGACACTTGGATTTTATAATTTCCAAGAACATCAAACATCTCGTCTACGACAGGGTGATTGAGGATCTATTCTCTTACACAAATTATAATTATTTAACAAATTATATATCAGATGATGCTTAAAAAATAAATAAATATATATGTATAATACATATATCAAATAGGGTTATTTGTAAAATTATTCCAAAAAACCGAAATCACAAATTTCAATCGGGATTTTTTTTGGGTATTTCTTATTAATAGCTAAAACTATTACCTTATAAATTCATTTTGTCCAAAATTTAACGCCCTTCAAAACCCTGCGCTTAACTTTCAAAATTATTCTCTTTCCCCAAAAAAAATCCCATTTTAGTCTCCTTGAAATCTATCCACCTTAGCGAATGAATTGAGATTTTTATTTACAACCCTTTCGCAAAACCCTTAATTACTCTAGCATTCTGTCTGCACATACACTATTTTATAGCTAATTTAATGTACTTTGATCTATCCTCGTAATCATCGAAGCCTTCAAAGCTTCAAAAATCAATGTCAGGATGCTTAATTCGGGTTCTTTTTGATCTAGGATTTTCGAGTTGAAATTTAGATCGAAAAAAATTTTAAATCCCAAGCTCTTAAGCAGAATTTAACCACCTAAATTTAGGATACCTTTTCTATTAACCAATTTAAACTATATCTAAAACGAATTATCAAAGTCCCTCATGCAAATATAAATTAATACCCATTTATCTACATAGTAGTTGGATAAATATAAAATATATCTAAATACATATGATAGATTGATGCAATCGACCTTGTTCGCTACCGTCCTCCTTATTATATAGCGATCGCTATTTCGCAAGTGCATTCAATGAGACCGTTAGAGAATGTACCGAGCACTTTAATATCTATCGAAATATTTGCAAATTTTCAATTATTATTATTGTTTTTAATATAAAAATTATTGATTTGTATAGAAAATTGGAAAAATGTTGACATTTAGGGGAAAATACCGCGGCCTTGACATGTCTTATTGAAGGTTATTACTCGCGAAAACGGCAACCGATGACGTAAAAGGGTCTTGCACATATATATATGGGAAGTTTAATAAGTGTAAATGAGAAGGGGAGAGAGATTGTTAATCAATGCCTAGAAAACGGTTCGGTTGTGAAAACACGTGTGTCATTCTTTACGACGGTCCTCATTAAAGCGGTTGCTAAAATCTTAACTCCTGGTTATTTTATTGTGAAATAAACAATATTGCACGACAATTTTATTGAAAATTATGAACTCTGGTGTCTTTCTTTGGACCCTGTTGGTCATCTCTGATGGACCTAACGCTATCATAGGGTTGGACCAGAATCCCAACACGGATTTAAAGACGGTGAGTGTCAATTTTTGGTGAATTTTGGGGGGAGGGGAAAAAGTTAAGATTAATAATAATGGTAATGGTAATTGTTTTAGCCTGACCTGATCACGAAATACGGCTACCCGGTTGAAGCTCATAAGGTGGTCACAGAAGATGGATATATCCTGGAGATGCACAGGATTCCTTTTGGAAGGTATGAAGACAGAAGGTCGGCCAGGTTGTCCAAAAATCCTATTCTTCTTCAGCATGGACTCGCGGGTAGTTCTGCAGACTGGGTGCTTACTGGTCCTGGAAAAGCATTGGGTGAGTTTTAATTTTGATACTAAAAATTGAAATTTTAGGAAAACTAGCTTTGATAGTTTATATAGTTTCTTAGTTCAGAAAAAAAAAAAAAAAAACTTACAAAACTTGCGCCTTTAGCGTACATGCTGGCGGATGAAGGTTACGATGTCTGGCTAGGAAATAATCGTGGGAACCTCTACTCCCGTCACCACCGTGAAATTCTTTCAACTAATCGTACTTTCTGGGACTTTAGGTGATTATTCCTTAATTAGTCGCCAATAATTAACAGTAATTAACAATTACATTTTAGTTTCCACGAATTGGGAATATATGACCTACCCGCGATGATCGATTACATATTAGAAGTGACCTCCAGGTACAAATTGCTGTACATCGGACATTCACAGGGGACTACGCAATTCTGGGTAATGACCTCAACCAGGCCCGAGTACAATGACAAAGTTAGTCTGGCTGTCGGCCTTGCACCCGCAGCGTACACCAGTCATATGCGGGGACCAGTTACGCAACTCGCCAAGTTGACATACTTTGGTGTGGTAGGTCGTGAATTAATTCTCGGCAATTTTACTATTAGAATTTATTTTAATAAAGTTTTTCTTTTTGATTGATTAATGGGTCCTGCAAATTTTTATATGAAAAAAATAATATGCCACTTTTAATCTTCTTAAAATTCTGAAAAAAATGACGTATCGCACGACCCGATTGGCCGCAGGTCGATTTTTGATTTATAGATCTATAGATCATTAATAAAAATATTAATGCGATTTTTTTTATGAAAGCTTGCGAATAAATATGAAGAGTAGGGGTTCATTTTACTCGGGATAACAAGCTCTAGGTCGCGCCAAGAAAGTTTTAAAAAATCCTAATAATTTTTTCAGTGGGTCGGTGAGAAATTCGGCTATCCAGAGTTCGGTTCTAGATCACCGTGGGGTAAATTCGTCGGTAACTTAGTCTGTCACGGTGGAGCTCCAACGCAATTCCTCTGCAGTAATATTCTCTTCCTTATCGCCGGATTCAGCCAGGGGGAACTTGACGCCGGAAACCTGACAGTTATTATCGGGCACGTGCCAGCAGGAGCCTCTTGGAAGCAGTTTGTCCATTTTGGGCAAGGACATATCAACCCTGGTGATTGAATTTATTTAAAGTCAGTGCAATGTTCATAAATTTTGAAGCTAACCTCGATTTACTTATCACCAGGGCACTTTAGAGCATTTGATTATGGAGAAAATGGCGATAAAAATTTAAAACTTTATAATTCTTTGATACCACCGGATTATCAGCTCGAGAAAATATCAACACCTATCGCGCTCTACAGCAGTGATAACGATTGGTTGGCAACACCTGAGGTAATTGAACTTTGAAACTCTTAAATAATTAATTACTTATATAAACATCATGATGATTTCAGGACGTCGATTTACTGAGAGCCAAACTGCCCAACATCGTGGTCGATTACAAAGTAGAAGGTCGCGTTTTTAACCACTACGACTTCCTCTGGGGAAATTCAGCCCCCGAGTCACTCTACGAGCCGATCATAAGATTGCTTCGGAAATACCGATGATTTTAAATTCTGATTTGAAGAAAATTGCATTTATAGAAATTATCTAGTCAGTAATCGAAGATTTGTAAAGGTTTTCGAAAAAATACACTGATTCCAAAGTTCAATTGGGATTTTTTTGGGTATTCTTAGGAGAAAATTAACTCCCTCTTCAAAACCCTGCGCTTAACTTTCAAAATAATATTCACTTTCCCCAAAAAAATTCCATTTTAGTGCCCCTGGAATTTATGGACCTTATCAAACGAATTGAGCCTTTTATTTTCAATCCTTATTTCGCAAAACCCTTAATCACACTCTCGCACTATGTCTGCACATACACAATTTTGTAGCAAATTTAATGTATTTTTACGATCTGCAATTGTTTTTTTCCGAAACTCTACCCTCGTAATCATCGAAGCCTCCAAAGGTCCAAAAATCTATATCAGGATGCCCAATTCGGGTTCTTTTTGATCTAGGGATTTTTCAGATCGAAATTTAGATTGAAAAAAATTTTGAACCTTAAGCTTCTCTACGTATAGAATTACATATCGCTTACAAGTCTCTAAGCTCAATTCTAACAAAAAATCTCGTTCTAAACTTAAGATTTATTTATAAACAGTGATATAGTAAATAAATATTCCGTGATTATTAATTATAAAGAAAAGTGATTGGTCAAAATACAAACATTGATATTTACATGATTCAGATAAACGCTAGAAAAATTGAAAAATGTGAATAGCGATATGTCGCTTAAATGGTATTCAGCCCGATCATTGAATAGATAAACATAATTTAATAATGGATCACAATAAACAAAACACTAAATACGATAATAAAATCGAGATGAAGAAGCTGATTGTTGTTACTTCAACAATCTAATCTTTATTTTTTCGATACACCGATTGATTACCGATTTAATCTATAAATATCTTGTAATTTCGCTGTTTGTTTGCCAGTATTTTGATAATTATTACGTCGATCATGATTTTCCAATTCGGGATCGTTTGCTTGGCGTTAAGCCTCGGTACCGATGCTTTTTCCGTCGAAGTAGATCATCCTCGAATATCCAAGTTTGATTTATCCAAGAATGTTTTTGAGTACAGCGAAGATGCCAATTTAAATGCCGTAAGTGAAAGTTAAATTATTTTTTTTTTATCTTTTTCTAATAAGAAAATATATTTTTTAGAGAGAATTGATCTCTAAATACGGATACACAGGCGAAACCCATAAAGTAACGACTCAAGATGGCTACATTTTAGAATTACATCGCATAACCGGCCCGAATTCTAACCCCAGCCCCAAAAACAAGACTACGATACTTTTAATGCATGGATTGCTTAGTAGTTCTGTCGATTGGATCATTTCTGGTCCGAATAAAGCTCTAGGTAAGCTTTTTAGAAAGTTCATTCAAATTAATCAATACATAATAAATTAATATTTAATTATTTTTGGGTCAGCTTACATGCTAACGGATGCCGGTTATGATGTGTGGATGGGTAATGCACGGGGAAACCATTATTCAAGGTCTCATAAAAGGTTATCTGTGCTTGATAAACAGTTCTGGCAGTTCAGGTAATTTTTTTTAGTTATAAATAGTCTAGGTCCCATTAATGGAACATTTAGAACTGTTTAGGCGCATGCGCAGTACAATTTTTTACAAAAAAAAAAGCTTAAAATTACTTAATTAATAATGTCTAGTTTTTGGAACAAGTCCATCCAAAGATTCAAATAAACCTTATTGATGACGAATCAGTCATTTTTGTAGCTATGTTCCATTATTGGAACATTAGGAACAAGTCATGCGCATGCCCAGTACATTTTTTAAAATTTATAAATAAATCGTACCTTTTTCAAATCAGCTGGCACGAAATCGGCATCTACGACCTTCCAGCGATGATTGACTACATCCTTAACAACACCGGGTCCCAAAAGATCTTCTACGCAGCACACAGCCAGGGAACCACTGCGTTCTTCGTGATGTGCAGCATCATGCCTGAATATAATCAAAAAATCATTGCGATGTCCGCGCTTGGTCCAGTGGCCTATGTTGGACACATGATTAGTCCTTTCTTCCAAATTTTGTCGCGCTTTGCTCCCATGATCGAGGTGAGTTTACATCAATCTTTAGCCTACTGTAATTATGATTAATTTATTTTATTTTTGTAGAATGCGATGAATTTGCTCGGTATGTACGAGTTCCAACCTACCGAGAAGTTCATAAAAAACCTCAAGGTATTAATATGTGACACTGAAGCCTGGTCACAGCCGATATGTGAGAACGCTATGTTCCTAGTTGCTGGATTTGGCTCGGATCAGATGAACAAAACTCTGCTGCCTGCTATCGTAGGACATGTTCCAGCTGGATCTTCTACCAAACAATTTATTCATTACTCCCAAATGGTCAAGTCCAGTAAGTTTAAATTTTTTATATGATATATACATGTATATTTCAATTTGAATAAACTAAAATCTTTTTTACCTTCAGAAAAATTCCGTCAATACGACCACGGCCTGATAGAAAACTACCGTAGGTATGGAAGATTCACCCCGCCAGATTACCAGCTGTTCAAAGTAACCGCTCCGGTAGTGCTTCACTACTGCGTAAACGATTGGTTGTCCAGCGTAAAGGACGTAGAGATCCTGGCCCAGCAGCTTCCGAATGTCCACGCCAAAATTCAAGTTCCTCACGCTCCGTTCAGTCACCTGGACTACCTCTGGGGTATGAACGCCAATGAGCTCCTCTACGAGAAGGTCCTGGGCATCATGAGTTTGTTCAGTCATCAATAAAACCTAATATTCTGTACCTAAATAAAACATTATTATTTAATAAAGAAAAAATTCCATTTCTGATAGCAGGAATAAAAATAAATCAACTCGAGAATTTAATATCAACAACCTTGCGCTTGCGTCATCGCGAAGGGTAAGAGTGAGTAGGAGCTACCCTCAGTGTGTAGGTGAATTCAGCTCCGATCACATCTGCTCTCGTTCGATCCCTTATTGTGTATCTGGACCAGTCTATTCCTTCAGATCAGTTATCCACGCCCTTTAAAACAACAAACAAACAATTATTTTTATTTAATCAGAAAAGGGCCAGTTCAAAATTTATACCCTTACTGGCCAATTTTCGAAAATATAAAACCTCTGTGAAAAGTGCGCAATGGTTATCTTTATATTTAGTCATTGCAAATTGTAATTGAACTTGGAAAAGTGAAAAAGATCAAGTGCCAGAATGCCGTGAGCTGAAGAGGACATTGTTATTACACTTATCAAATCAGTAACAATGATAAGAGCTATTATCATCTTTTGGCTGATAGGTAATTACATAATTCTTATCGATCACAGGTGAATTTATAAAATTTATAGGCGACATAGATTTAAAGGTCATCCAAAGGTCTTTAGACCGCAATCGGATCGATTCAAGCGAATTCGAGAATTGACCTATCGGATTTCCGCTTTTTTCTGGATTTACTTTGACGCGAATCTTTAAGTTAAATAATGATGCGAGGAGGGTAACTACGGTAGGTCAGTTGAAAACCGGGGCGAACGGTACCAAAAATTGGGTCAGAAAATTAAATTTCGAAAAGTCCCATTTCGAATGAATTCGTATTTTACGTGTTTTTGAATTTTTAAGAATTGATTTTTAATGGTTAATCAAGGGGGTGGTACAATCTTGAGAGGACTGCAGTAGCTTAAGTAAAAATCCGGGGCTAAATAAACCGGAAATAGAGGTAAAAACCTCGAAGATAGGCTACTTAGGGATATCCTAAGGGATACTTGTTGTTGATGGGGAGAACTACCCTTGGTTTTAGACTTAGGACCACACTGTCCCAGGAACCAGTTCATATTGATAAAAAACGAAAGGATTTCGAGTTCAAATGCAATCGGAGCCATAGAACCGGAGATATTGATATAAAAAAACGAAAATCTTCGGAATTTTCGCGGGGGTAAATCGCGATTTAATTGGCGGATTTTTGAATTTTTTTTTTCTATAAAAGTTTAGTTCAAAAAGGTCAAGACAACACACATGCAAGCAGTTCCGGAGATCATAGCAGTAGCGCTTTCCTAGAAGTTGATTTTTGCTAAATTAGGCCAATTTACGAGAATACTAAAAATCGGATTTATTTTTAGGTATAGAAAATTTTTTTTTGCGTCTGAAGGGCTTGGATACCTGTCAGTAGATGCTAAAAATAAGATTGTAATAAAAATAAAATTTATTTATAACAATAAAAGAGGGTGTATTGAACAAAAAGAGTATATCGATTGGTTTATAAGCGCTTGCGCGAACGGCATTAGTGTTGAATGAAAATTCGGCGCGATCTCGAGTCATTCATGGCCCGTTGGACAACCACTAATACTTATATATCTCACAATAAAGTTCAGCTCTATTGCTATTAACAAGGGGAAGGGAGAGAAGAATCGATCATCAACCACCCACACAACTCGATTTAAACAAATGCAGATAATCCAGTCAAAGTGATAACCAACGTCATTCAGCGAGGGATATTAATACCCGGTTATCAATAATTCCGCCGGAAATAATGTTCTCGTTTCGTTATAATTATTTCAATCTATTGATGCCGTTCTTACAGGGTATCTCGGGGCTGAAGATGCTACAGTTTCTCCCGTTAATCGGGGGGCTGCTAGGCAAATGTATGGGAGCGGAAATTTGCGGCAGCCCAATTTGAGTCCTACTACTCAGGAACCGGAACGGAAACTTGGGAAGAAACCTGGTTCTCCAGGTCGTGAGGGATACAATTACGGGTACAACAAAGGAAAGTACCCAGATTTTTACCCAAGGTTTCCTGGGTTGGATTATGAAGAACCTTTCGAGGCGCCTAGTTATAGAAATGGGGCTCCAGTTAATGGACGACCTAATTATGGACAAGGAAGAGGATCAAGACCTGGGATGTATGATGGAGGTTAGTATTACTCTAGTAAAAAATGGGTATATCTAAAAAAGATCCAGCATGTTTTAGTAACATTATTATTTTAGTTTATGGAGAGTTACCTGACAGGATGCGAGTCCATCATGGTCTGCCCCGAGGTCATGGTGTCAATTCCAACGGCGATGGCTTCAACCCAGATCAAAAGAGCTTGATCCACGAGCTAGATGACGAGAGCGACCTGAACCCGGCTTACGAACCTTGTACCATAAACTGCGGAACTGGATTTTTCTTGTGCAGGATTATGTGCACTTGTATCAGCTATAACCTCCGCTGTGATGGATCTGTAAGTTATAACCCCAAATAAAATTCAATAAACATTATATAAAATAAATTAATTTTTGTGCAGGCTGACTGCGAGAACGATGAAGACGAGATGGAATGCGAGAGTGTGTATGAGTGGCGACGCTCTAACCACACTTGCGTTGGGAACAAGAAAATTCAGTGCCCAGAATCTGGAATTTGTATTTCGGAACAATGGTTATGTGATGGAGATGACGACTGTGGGGATTTTTCAGATGAAAGTCACTGTGGTAAATTAAAAAAAAAAAAAAAAATGTTTTTTGATCATCATAAAATTGAAAAAACTAAAGAACTACTTAACCTAATTAAATTTCAGGTGACCAAAAAAACTGCACAACAGACCAATTCGAGTGTAGAAATGGTCTTTGCATTCCCGGATCCTGGAAGTGTGATGGCGAAAATGACTGCCGAGATTTTTCCGATGAAGAAAACTGCGGGGGCAAAAGGTAAGACTTATAAAGATATAAATAGTAACAATAATAATAAAAATATTAAATTGACACCTACGTATTACCTTCCCACACGTCTCATTCACACTAAAACGCAATTTGAGTGGATTTATTTTTTACAGAAAGTGTAAAGAAGATGAGTACACTTGTCCGGAGGGCTGGTGCATCCCCAGGAGGTATGTCTGCGACGGAGACGCTGACTGTGATGACGGGTCGGATGAATCCAAGTGTCGTAAGTCAACAATTGTATTTTTTTTTTTTATTTATATAAGCATTATTCTTTTACTAAATGTTAGCTTCTTATTTGTTTCAGATGGAATCCGCGAGGTGGTGTGTGATGCGAATCATTTTGAGTGTGCGACGCCTAAATGTATCCGCAAAGAATTCAGGTGCGATGGAACGGATGACTGCGGTGATGCCAGCGACGAAGAAGGATGCTTTGAAATGTGTAACGCTAATCAATTCAAGTAAGAATATTTTAAATAAAATTGATATTAATTTTTAAAAATTAATTAAAAAAAAAAAAAAATTTTACCTCGACCGAGAATCGAACCCTATTATTTCCTCGCGCTTAAACTTAAGCGACTTTTGCAACTAGCCAATGTAATTTTGGTTACCTACGTCTGATCAAAAAAATAAAAAAAACCTACGGATAGAGAATTTATTTGTTAATAAGAATATTAGGTCAAAAAATGAACAACTATTTTTTTTAAATATTTACCAGATGCATAAACGGCACATGTATCAACAAAGCATTTGTCTGCAATGACCACTGGGACTGTAAATCAGGAGAAGACGAGGCAGGCTGCAAGCTGGCGCCACTCAAAAGTTGCAGCACTGAAGAGTTTACTTGCTCATCAGGGGACTGTATTCCCAAAGCGTGGGTCTGTGATGGCGCGCCGGACTGCACAAACGCGCTGGATGAAGAAGGCTGTCCCACCACTTGTGACGCCACTGAGTACCTCTGTAAGGCTTCTGCAGTCTCCAACTCTTCAACAAACCAGCAGCCGTATGTAACACCTTACTGTATCGCGAGGAAGCATATTTGTGACGGTATCGCGGACTGTCCACTGAAGGAGGACGAACAGGACTGTCCTCAGAGAAGAAATTGCACTGCTACAGATAAATGTACTCAACACTGTGTTACTCTGGTGACTGGGGTTAAAACTTGCTCGTGTGATGTTGGGTTCAATTTGGCAGCGGACAATGCAACCTGTGAAGACATCAATGAGTGCTTATTCACTCGGGAAACTGTTTGCAGTCAGGTTTGTCACAACACTGCTGGATCATTTACCTGCAGCTGCATTACGGGCTACGTCCTCCGTCCAGATCTTCGAACCTGCAAAGCAGTGGGAGGGAACCCCAGCTTGATTTTCACGAACCGCGTCGAAATCCGGAAAGTAGCCTTGGAGCCGTCAACAGCAAAGTACACTCCGATCGTCAAAGGGTTGCACAACGCAATCGCTATCGATTTCCACTACGAGCAGGGGGTCATCTACTGGTCAGACGTGTCCCTGGACGTCATCAGGAAGATCTTCATCAACGGCAGTGCTCCTGAAGATGTAATTCGCTGGGGCTTGGAGAGTCCCGGAGGAATCGCCATAGACTGGGTCCATAACCTGCTGTTCTGGACGGACGGAGGAACCAGACGGGTGGAGGTTCTTACTCTGGACACCAGGATCCGACACGTGCTGATTTCTAACGACCTGGACAAGCCCAGGGCCATTGCAGTCCATCCGCACTACGGGTACGTCTTCTGGACGGACTGGGGACCTTCTCCGAAGATTGAGCGGGCTGATATGGATGGAACCTCCAGGCTTGCATTGGTCACTGATTCCATCACCTGGCCGAATGGTCTTACTGTGGATTATCCTACGGATAGGATTTTCTGGACTGATGCCAAGCACAGGGTCATTATGTCTGCAAAATTAGACGGAACTGACAAAAGAAAGATTCTTAGCAAGGGCCTGCATCATCCTTTTGCGATCACGGTCTTTGAGGACACTATCTACTGGACTGATTGGCACTTCAAAAGTATTTCTTCCGCTAATAAGGAGACTGGCCATGGCTTCAAGACTATTCGCTCTGGTAA